GAAGGAAGGAAGGAAGGAAGGAAGGAAGGAAGGAAGGAAGGAAGGAAGGAAGGAAATGGTAAGCTGATATACAGCAGATTAAAGCAACAAATTTTGGCCTCATTCTTATTTCTAAAAATGCCTGGACTTCAAGCAGATCTCAAAACCTTTCTTAGATGATGATGATGACTTATAAGGCCACCAAATCAGAGAGACTCAAGGTGGTTGTAAATGATCCTTTGGGGGAGTACATAAAAACCAGGTTCAGCTATTCCTCATCACTTAGCCCATGGCCTGTTTGAAAAGCTGATGACTGGGGGGGGGGGGGGGGAGAGAGATTGAAAATTTCAAACATGCCCACCAGCCAAAAAAGGTTGCAGGGCTCTTATTTAAATCTTGTCAATTCCAACTGGCAGCTATTCTTCTACGCTCCGGCCCATAGCTCTTCTTAGCACCTCTGCCAAACTCCCTTTACCTGAAGTGAAGAGGGTAAAGAGATGGCTTCTTTAACTAGCTTTTTAAAGAAAAACTCACTGGGCTGAGTTCACACAGCATACTAAACCAAAAGCAAACAAACTGTATTGTAGGTTAACAGGTTGCATGAACTTGCCACCAAAGAATATGCTTTGTTGCAAAGCTGTGGCTTCTTTGTGCTACTCATTAAAAAAAAAAAAAAGAACAGTATAAAAATGTAGCAAGGAAAGAATTGCAATTAGTGTCTTCCTAAAAGCAATTTTGAGGTCTAGTTTTCAATGAGAAAATAAAAGCAGTATCCGGGTCGCGCAACTTCAGTCCGAAGCGTATGTGAAAGGATGGGGGTTTTTTTAGAAGGAATCAGCACACCATCATAGGAGCTTCCACTTGCAGTCTGAATAGTATAGCCTGAACTCAGACTGCCATTGATGGACAATAACTGAGCCAGAGGAGTGATTGTACTTGTGCAGACATGCACACTTAACCTTCCAAGTAGAACTTTGCAAAAAGATTTCTCAAACTTTTGTACCTCAATTTCTCACAGGCATTTTAAGAATGCACATCAGGAGGAAATTAGAAGAGTAATCTTGTGTACTGATTAAAATAATCTGGCAAGTCCTTGATAAATTCTCAGTTGAGCCATGAACACTAAATACACCTTAACCCCTTTCTCATTCCCTCTTCCAAATCTGTAATAAGGGGATAATAGAACTAGAATGTATTCATCCCGTAGAACTTTTATATGGATTTTGAGAATGTGTGGAAAGCCATTAAAAAAGTGCTGTATAAAATACTAAATATTGTATTAAAGTAGATTAGTACTTAAAGTATATTCTCACTGGGCTGCTTCATTCACCTGAACACCACTAATTAAACTGATAGTTTTTAAATTATTGGTAAGGGTGCATGTGGCTATAATTATGGTCTGAAATCTGAAGTGCCACCTTCAAATGTATCCAGTAGAGGATCTGAATTTTCAATAATTTAATTAGCTTATCTCTGTGTCATTATCATAAATTATTAGCTGTAGAGTGTCAGGGTCCCTTTTTGCTTTATGCACATTGTAAATGAAATTGGTCCCATGATTCCTTGGATATTAACTATAGTGCACAGGTGAGGACTAAAGTAGGCTTATATTGAAAAATTCAAAACTGCTATCAGTTCTTGATTGATTGAATCATTTTGCCTTTGTTTTGTCTTAAATGAAGGTTTTGAATTGATGGGAAGTCCTTCAGGATACTTCACTGACTTTGATGATAAAAAGCAAGTGGTGGAATGGAAGAACCTGATTGTACAATTGGCCAAAAGATATATAGGTGAGTTAACCAAACTCAGTGTTTCTGCAAACATTTATAAAAAGTAATGCTAATGAAAATATACTGCATTTTTCGTTTAAATTTTATGTAATTAACTATTGGTTTGGATATGCTGTCACTTATAATTTATGCAGCTGTATGGCTCTGGTTGGGTAAGTGGGAGAACATTAGCAGGGAGTTCCATAGGCAACAGATAACATGCTATGGGATTTAGAGGCTAGATTAATGCTAAGATAAAGCAAATTCTAGCACATGGATATACCAGCTTTCGGGTTGAGGATCATACTAGACCTTTGAGTGATATACTGAGGGTCACGTTATATACATTTGAACTCTATTTTAATTCAAAATAGTTAAAATAGGGTTATTTTTCTTTCTTTCAGATTAAACATTACAATTCAGCAACTTGCAGTGTTTATCTGCAAGTCTTTGGGAAAGTTGCATCCACTTCAGAGGTTCCTGGCTGTGTTTTCCTATGTAGACAAATTTGGGGCCACACTGTAGAATAAATTATATGTAAATCTGTCCTATCCTAGACTGATCATCCATGTATATCTACTAGCCAATTTGGTCTAGTGGTTAAGGCACCAGGCTAGAAAGCAGGAGACTGTGAGTTCTAGCCCTACCTTAGGCATAAAAGTTGGCTGGGTGACATTGGGCCAGTCAGTCTCTCTCAGCCCAACTCACCTCACAGGGTTGTTGTTGTGGGGAAAATAGGAGGAAGGAGTATTGGGTGTGTTTGCCACCTTGAGTTATTTATAAAAATAATAAAGGTGGGATAAAAAATCTGAAAAAAATCTCTTAAAGGCAGAGTCTGCTAATGTGGAATAAGAAATTATTTGGTCCAAGAGTCCTTCACTTGAGACTTTGCTCATGGTCTAATGAATGAGTTTTAATAACTGTAAGCTTGGTTTACAGAGAGGTATGGATTGAAACATGTGTCTAAGTGGAATTTTGAGACTTGGAACGAACCAGATCATCATGACTTTGACAATGTATCAATGACTGTAAATGGTAAGTTGTTTTAAATCTTTTTTTTAAACTGTGAATGGTGTGGGAAGAATTCCAAGGAGAAGTTAGATGCAAGCAAGAGAAATACTGTTCACTTTCGATCTTGTAAAACCCAGGCTCAATATCAAAAAGATTTTGGTTTTGCCATCCAAGCTCTTCCACAGCTAGGTCATTGTGTCTAAGTTAGCAAACAGGTCTACAAGGGATGTTACTTAGTCTTTCATAACAATTTTAATGATGCTTATATTACTTGGCCAACTTTTCTTTGTTGTTAAGAATGTAGATTTGAATACATCAAGTAAATCAATAAAGACTGGAACAAAAAATATTTTTTTCCATACAGTTTCCTAGAAATTATAGTATATCACTTTCTGGAGGCATTGTAGCCCCATTTCGGAAGATGCAACATTTCTCAACTTTTAAAATCCTCAAGCTGTCCTCAAAACATTGTGAATGAAATGCTTGAGCTTTTCCAGTTGCCTTGTCACGTGCTTGCTTAAGCCTTCAGCTGGTGAAAAAGATAGGAAAAAATACTTTTTTCCCCCTCCCAACATTTACTGTATTCTTGTACAATGCAGCAGACATAGCAGCACCTAGCTGACCCTAGCTGATCCCAAAAAAAGTTTAGCAGGGTCAAGCTTGTTAGTACTTGCATAAGAAATCACTGGGAATGCCCAAAGCCATGTACTAGATTACAGAGTTGAAAAAACACCCCTGAAGAAGAAAGTGGCAATTTTTTAAAAAAAATTAAAAGAACTCTCCATCGAATCACCAAGAGTCAAGTTCAGTTCAAGGAAACCTTTGCTTAAATGTTTGTCAGAATGCCTGGGAGGACATTTTCTTTCTTCTGTTGCTCAGCTGCACTGCCTCCAGATGTGGGGTTCAGCCAAGCCACAATTTAGTTTTTTAAAACCTTTAAGAGACTTGTTCTTTGACCAAACTTGTACAAACACTCACACCTGTTTTCTGCAACCCCACTAGCATCAAGAGGAACCATAGCAAGCATTCTCATGGGCTTGCCAAAGGAAGGCACATAGCAGTACAAATGGCTGTTGGGAGATCCCACTCAGAGTTATTTTATTCTCTCCCCTGTCAGAATTTGTGCACTCTCAGGATCATAAGTCAGGGGAAGTGATGTAGCCACAAGGGAAGATCACTGGAGTGAGAGTGAGAACCGTAGAGCGTTTCTAATTGCAAAAGGGTGTCTGGTGAAAGGGTGTCTGTTCGAGGTGCTTATGCACATAATGATCTGATTATCATAAGGTGCCTGCTAGTATCTGGTAGCTCCTGTAATTTGGATGAAAAATCAGTTTGCTTGCCTTCTGTAAAATAGTTTACATTGTAATTGTTTCCAAATTACACGTATAGACAGAAGTGAGTACAAATTTGATGTAAATTGGTGTTTATGGGCGTATAGCTCACCTGCTATTAGGAGTTCTGTCGCTGCTGCTGAATAATTGTCCTGCACTCAGGCCCATTACCACAAATATTTGAGAGGTTTGTGCGTAATTCTGGCAGACCTGTAACTCATTGGGTGAAGTGGACTTTTAGTTCATAAAGCCTGAACCACAATAAAGCTGTCCTACACTCAACTGCTCCTTTATAGCTTTTTAAAAAGGAAATAATCCTCTAATTTATATATTCAGGGCCATGCCGACAAGGGCTAGCTGCATGCTTTGAAACACATTGGGATTGTGTGTTTTATTGGCATCTGTAATAGAATCTGTGGCCCCAAGTTCCATAGTCAAAAACAAGGCATGCAAGTTCATGCAAATGATACATTTCTTCATCAGCTGGTGTTAATACAGCAAATGCAATGAAATATGCCCTGCTTTGTTAGATTTCAGCCTAGCATGTTTTGAAGAGCGAGATACATTTCTGTTCCATTGACGAGATACCATATTGCTATCATACACTGAGACTTTCACAACTCTTCCATTTTCTATCTAGGATTTCTCAACTACTATGATGCTTGTTCTGAAGGATTAAGGGAAGCTAGTTGTCAGCTAAAATTGGGAGGCCCTGGAGATTCCTTTCATCCATTTCCAAAATCTCCAATATGCTGGAACCTCCTTAGTCATTGCTACAATGGCAGTAATTTTTTCACTGGAGAGACGGGAGTCCGGCTAGACTACATTGCCATGCATAAGAAGGTCAGCTCATTTTTTTTTAATTGCTGAGAATTTAAAAAGTTCCTGATCCAAGTTAAATGCTTTCATTTATGTATTTTTATCCAATTTAAAAAAGTACAGACAAGGTGGAAGAGACTGGATTGAATAAAAAGTGGCTATTATCTCTTGCAGAGAATTATATGGAATGTTCAAAGTGCCACTATGTATGTTACCTTGTTTGCTTATTTATAACTGAAGCTTTAGTTTCCTGAACTAAACTCAGAAGCTATAGCTAGTCCAGAATGCAGCAGCGTGGGCAGTGTTGGGCATGCCTCATTAGGCCTGTGTGACCCCACTGCTCTGTGAGCTGCTCTGGTTACCAGTTAATTCCCAGGTGCAATTCAAGGGGCTGGTTATCACCTATAAAGCCCTTCATGACATAGGCCCTTTATTTGAGGAAGCACCTGTCTCCAATTGTTTCTGCTGATCTGGTGTGATAGGCCAGAGTGGATATACTCCAGTCCCATAGATTAAGCAGTGTCACCTTGTGGGACTTCTCTCTGCCCTCTGGAATGATATTCCTCCATCTGGATGGGTCCCATCCTAATGACCTTCAGGAAGCTATTAAAGACCTGGCTTTTCTCCCAAGCTATCGGCAGGGTTGAGGTTGTGTCCCTGTTGGATGAGTTTTCCTTGGTTATATGTTGTTTTAGAGGCCATTCATTTTTTGTGTGTTTTGTATTTTATACTTTTAATTTTAAGGAGTTGTTGGGCATTGGGTGAACTATACATTGTATAAATAAATAAATAAAACTTCGGGTGGAAAGACTCCCATTAGAGCTTATTGATCAGGATGGACAGCTTAGTATGGTCAAAGGCTTAGAGACCCACACAATCATAGGTGGGGTGAGAATAAAATCAAAACTTAATATTATTTATATCTACAGTAATGTAGTAAGATTAATTACTCTCCTATCATTATTTAATAATATTCCTCTTCTGGCACATTTAAGAATCTGAATTTGGTGATAAATTTTGGAGCTTCTGTAGGCCTCAGGTTGTATACCTTTTTATAGATCAATAAAAAGAGAGGCTCCCTGCCCTCATCTAAAACAGAGTGACACAATAGGGTAAGTGTAGGAGAGCAAGCTATAAGTTTAATAGATAATAACAGTCATCACAATACTTCTTATTACCAGGGAGCAGGGAGTTCTCTTCATATCTTGGAACAGGAAACTGAGGCCATGGGACAGATCCAGAAGACCTTTCCCAATTTTGCCTTGGTGCCTATATACAATGACGAGGCTGATCCCCTAGTAGGATGGTCGATTCCACAGCAGTGGAGAACTGATGTGACCTATGCGGCCATGGTGGTAAAGGTAAGGTTGATGCTGATAGAAGTAGAGGAGTCCTTTTTGTGTTTGGATTTTCATTGGATAATTGGGATCACAAAGTAAACAGAAGCTTGTCTAGACTCTCTTGCTCAATTTGCTCTGCTTGCTCTGACAAACATTCAAGGTGTCAGGGTTAGGCCAGGGCTGTAAGCATTGAAGCTTGAATCTAGACCAAGAAGGCACCTTCTCTAGGTTGTGGCCTTAAAGAGCATTTGGAAGCTGGTAATATCATTATGATCTCTGGTGACAAACCAAGCCCTTCTTAGGCTTGACTAATACTGCTTGCTGACTGACTAAATACTGCTTGCCAGTTACAGGAGCCAAACATAACATATTCCTGTTACTTCTGGGTCTCAAGACTACTGTGGCTAAGCACTCCAGTTCAGAAGAACTGGAAGTAAATAGTAGCTTTTCCATGTGTTTGTCTGGGCTTGTTCTTCTGTTAGAAATAGCAGCCAGAGGTAAAAGGAGGAATCTATATGGGAGGGATGGCATATGGGGAAGGTGGTGTGATCTTCCCTCCATACTGCTTTCCTACCAGTCTTGTCCTTCCCTGCTTCCTCCATTATAGCACTATTAAAAGAGAAGAACATCATGGAAGGAGATGATTCTCAATGGGAAGAGTGAACTCATCTTCTTCCTGGGTGCTTAGGTCCTTATCTGGATTCAGCGCCTTCTCAGTGGTTACTCTTCTTAGAAGAAAAACCCAAGATAGATGCTCCCATGGCAAATGTATTGCCCAATCCCATCTTAGTCTACTTGTGAGCCACTGACTTTGTCAGACTTAAAAAAAATAACATTACAGTCTTACAAAGATCACAATGAGCAAAAACTAATGCTCATTGCAATACTTCTTCGTATTATATTGGAACAACTGGAATCAGGAAGCTTGTAGCAGATGGCTTTGTGCTTTATCTCTACCAGCGTATGCACTAACATCGATAATGGACCAGAACGGGTCCAAAACAGTTCAGAAGAAGATAAAGTAGATAGTGGGAGCTGCTGTAGCTGTCCCATCCAACACACCCATTTGGGATCTGGGCAATATACCAGGCAACTAGAGTTGGGCTGTTTTCAGAGCCATCACTCATCCGCATTGCTGCCACCGAGTCAATCTGTTTCCCCCCCTATTTTTCAATACATAGAGCTTTATTCAAAGCCTTCCTGTTTAGGCCAGAATGGAACTGCTTTCTCTGCAAAAGTCCATGAATGTCGTGATCTGCTATTTTCCCTTTGTATCCATGAATTATTCAGAAATACAAAGGTACACAGACACACCAAAATAGTTTCCCCTGATTCTGCATAAAGAACTGTACTGGAGCTGGATGGCTATTAAATTGGAAGTGGCCTGATGAATGCTTTAGCTTTGTCTGGTTTTCTAGGGTTTGCAGTGTTGCAAAATCAGGACTTGTCTACCATCTAATGGAGGAAAACTGTATCTGCAGCTTGTGATTTTTGTAATCATAAAACATGTGTTCACTTACGATGTTTAAATAACAAACTACAATTAAAAATACAGTTTAGGGGGAAAGGGTTGTCCACCACATGATCCTGGCTTAGTCCCTCATTCCCCTTTGCCACTTAATCCTACAATTGTCAATCAGTGAATAGTGCTTGATTTTAGCCGAATAAGAAATCCATCCATCATAGCTTATAGCTTGGTAAACAACTGGAGAATTGTCACTCTAGACTTTGTGGCCAGACTAGATGAGACCATTAATCTCCTGGGTGATATTAGTGGTTTTGAGAATTTATTTATTTCTCTTTAATCATTTGCATGCACCTCTCAGGCAAGACTCAAAGCAACTCACAATTCAGTAGTACCATAAAAACCATAAGAACAATAAAAATACCCCACATATATAATATCATAACATTACAGTATCTCAAATAAGGTATTTTAACAATCAACCAAGCATTCATATGCGATAATGGGATGGGAATCATTTATCAGCATTTGACCATTGTTTTCTGGTTAATATACTGGATGACCTCAAAACAACCAGCTGATGTCCCAGATGAGTTTGTTCAGTTGGGGGATCATCAGTGTTTGACTAAATTAGTGAAGATAAATCAAGTGATTTATATACATATATGGCTCGCTATTACATGAATATTAAGTGACGTTTTGAGAAAAACCTTTAATAAAAAGGAATGGTGGAAGAGGGATTTCCCCCCTACATTGGTTATATACTTTAAGACACTGCTGTGCATATGTTATTTTTCCAATAAAGGATAATTCCCTGACATTGATTTGGGAGAATATAGAAATCAGCCATTCCTCTGGAATACCGTTAACGCTGTCTTTCCAGAGCTAATAATAATTATAATTGTCTCCATTAAAAAAACAAAACAGAAACACCCACAAATACTTCAATTCATTGCTTTCATATAGAATTCCCAAAGCTGTAGATTCCCTAGAGCTCATATTCTGTCTTAAAAGAGGATGGTACAAAAAGTTAGCCAAACTTGATCAGGGCTCAATAGTACCTCAGATCTGTTTTTGTACATTCTGGTAAGATGTAGAAGCTGGAGAACAGTGTTCAGCAAGGAAGTCATCCTAGGACTTTAAAAAAAACAAGTCATCCCTTAAAAAAAAAAATCCTCACTTTTTTTTTCTTTTTCAATTAAAAAAAATGGTAGATCTCTTGAGTTACTGAGTATCAAGCATAGAATAAAATGTTCATTTGCTAGAGCATCTCTCTCCCTACTTGTGGGTTTTATTGATTGAAGACTACTTTTTGCAATTGGGGAATGAGTGTCTGGTTGAGAAGTTTCTCCCAAGATAGCTATTGAAGGATCATCTTGAGAAGCCCACTATCAAAATCTTGGTAGTCCAAAAGAGGAGTGGCTGTTCCCTTAAGTGACACCTTAGAGCTATTTTCCTCATCTTTCCCTGAGGAGAGAAGAGATTTGGGTTTCCCCCCCCCCCAAAAAAAAATCCTGTAGCTTTATTATCTGTATCATTGTGTTGCATAATGAAAAGCAATATCTGCTTTCCTTAAATAATTAGATTGAATGCTTGGGGGACCAGAATTATTCTGCACCCTGCTTATATTCCCTGCTGCCCTGGGTACCATGGCTAGATTAGGGCAGAAGCAGATTTTAGTGCATGTCAGAGTTCTTGGAACCAGTTGGCTTCCACATCACCACAAGGGGTGTGCCTGGCATTGCTGCTGCCTTTTGCCACCAACAGTCACTCCACACTTCCTAGTCATGGTTATGCAGCGGGGTGGAGAGCTAAGCAGTGAAACTTTCAGGCAAACCTGTCATTATTTATATAAGTATAAATATATAGTACTATACTATATTATACACACACACACACTATGTA